TAATAATAATAATAATAATAATGATAATAATAATAATAATTAAAAATTCTAAACATTCTTATCTCCATCACTAGTTCACCTGGGCGAATAATAGGGAGAGAGAGGGCTTTATGGAGAAGAAGCTAGACAGAGCTTTTGGATCTTATCATTGGTTGGCTGAGCATCCAAAATCTAAAGGTACAAGCATGTTTAGGAGTGCCTCAGCTCACAATATGTTATTTGTGGAAGGATCTATTCCTTAAGACAGACATAAGAGGAGATCCATTTTTTTTTTTTGTAAAAGATGGGTTCACAGGATAGATGTAATGGAAGTTCTAAAGCATGCTTGGAGTACTGAGCATGAGAGAACTCCAATGTATAGTGTCAAGGAGAAAATAAAAAGAACATTAGTTGCCTTACTAGTTTGGAGTAAACTTTTCATGGCATAGAGCAAGAACAAAATTTAGCAATTGTTCTTAAAACTCGAGGACATGAGAAAGAAGGAGGAGACATCAACTAATGTGAAAGGGAAAATGTACAAAAGGAGTTTGACTAAGCCCATGGCTCCGAGGAACAATTATGACAAGATAAAGCCAAGGTTAGCTAGCTCAAAGAAGGGGATCCAAACACTAAATTATTCCATACTTGTACCCCAGAAGATAAGAGTAAATGCTATCATCAAACGGACCACACATGAAGTTTGTGATATCGGGGAAGATATAAAAGCCCATGTTCTTGACTTATACAAACAATTGTTCACTTTTGAGGGATCTTCAGAAGAGGACAAGATATTGCAGCACATACTTCATACTATAACCATTGGAATGAATGAAGAGCTTACAACAAAAGTGCAAGAGGAGGAGATCAAGTGCCATTTTCTCAGTCAATCCTGCAAAGGCTCTAAGTGAAGATGGTATGATTGCTCTCTTTTATCAACACTTTTGGCCAATTCTTAGTGCTGATCTTTTTAAGGTTGTGAAGAGCTTTATTGAATTTGGGCAAATTCTTAAGTACTGGAAACAAATTCTGATCACCTTAATTCTTAAGCGTACGACAATTTAGACCAGTTAGCTTGTGTGGGGTTGTATACAACTTTTTATATATGATATTAAATTAATCTTTTATTGACGAGTTTTGTTTTGTTATCCATAGAATAAATAAATAATTTATTACACTTACCATAAAATAAAACTATCTATTAATACTATACTTCAATATAAACAAAAATATCAATAATGTCACTACATTATATGATTTAAAAAATTATTATAATATAAAGGTATTTTAATTATACAATTGAAAAGTTTTTTTTAATATAATTAATAATATAA